AGATTTCAACAAATATTCTGGATGCTTCATTTACAGAAAAATGCACCAGTAGGCAGAAATACCTGTATAAGGACCCGCATTCAAAAGGCTAATAGCTTTTTACAATACATCAACTCAAAAATTTCCGAACATTGTATATCTTATAAGTCGATTTGCATTGATGAATCCATTATAAAATTCATGGGGAAAATATGTTTTATGACATATAACCCAGCTAAACCCACTAAATGGGGAATCAGAATTTACGTTCTGGCCGACTCAAATACCGGTTATGTTTATTCGGTTCTGCCTTATTACGGCAGTATTACTTCTGAAAATCAGATAAGACCTAATCTGCCTGTCAGTTCCAGAATTCCCTTAGACCTGTATAGAAAACTATTGGACAATGTTCCTCATGCTAAAGGTTATCACATGTATACCGACAGGTATTATACAAGCATACCCCTTGCTGAAGAACTGCTAAAGATGAATTGTTTCCATACCGGCACAATAAAAACAAATAGGAAATATTTACCAATGGTAATAAAAAAAGCGAGATTTGTAAGGGGCAGGAAAACAGTGGCCCGCAGAAAAGGCAAAACCCTAGTCCTCGCATGGAAGGACAAAAGGATTGTAACTTTGTTAAGTACCTGTAATGAAGCGGGTTTGATATCGGTTGATAGAAGAGTACGCGGTGGTGAATTAGTCAGCATACAAAAATCTAAAATTGTTATTGATTATACAAAGAATATGCGTGGAGTAGATCGGGCTGACCAATATGCTGCAACATATTGTTTTTTGAGAAAATCCCTGAAATAGTGGAGAAAACTATTTTTCTGAGGGATGGAAATGTGTATAGTAAACTCATACATATTGTACACTTCTGTTAAAAAAAATAAATAATGAAAAACCAATGTCACATTTGAAGTTTGTAAAATTGTTGGTGGACCAATTGGTTGGGAATTTTCGACAAAACAGCACATCTCGAGACTCCATTTACACACCAAATACGGAGGGCAGGCTCAACAACCACCTACACATCATACGTTCTGGAACCAAGGAAGATTGTGTAGTGTGTTCTAATAGAAAAATTCCGGGCGAAAGACGGCAGACACATTATTTTTGTGATACCTGTATAGAAAAGCCAAGATTACATATTGGCGATTGCTTCGAGAGGTATCACACCTTGGACGATTACAAAATGTAATAATTTTATAATTTTTTGTTTTTTTATATATTATAACATTTGTATCCATAATCAATTAAAAAAACAATAACATAAAACAATGACTTTTCTTTTAATGCGCATATCATTTACTTATATGTGAATATGATCTTTCCACACTGAAATTGCTTCGAGTTGCTGGTAATATGAATGAAAAAAAACTTCGAGTGCAAAGGGTTAAACAAAGCAGAAATTTATTACACCATGAAGAGTTGCTCTGCGCATGCGCGAAAGCGACACGGGCAGCGCGACCCGCGCATGCGCGAAAACGACACGGGCAGCGCGACCCGCGCATGCGCGAAAGCGACACGGGCAGCGCGACCCGCGCTGATCGGCAATTGTTACCGATCCGTCGTTGTTATTCTAGACATGGAACCTCCGCCACGTGTGCGGTTCGACTCTCAGTGTTCTTAATATTGTAATCCATACTTATTCTAATATATATAGTTTAATAATGTAGCGTGTAGTTCAATAAAACTCCAACACACCACCACCGAGAAGGAGCTGTTAGCTATCGTTTGGGCCGTCAAACGCTTGCGACAGTACCTTCTAGGCAAAAAATTCAAAATTTTGACTGACCACCAAGCTCTAAAATGGCTATTTAGTATAAAAGACCCATCCTCCAGATTATTAGGTTGGCGATTACGTATGGAAGAATACGATTACGAAATCGATTATACTAAAGGCAAGGAAAATACAGCAGCGGATAGTCTATCCCGCATGTATCCCCTTTCTTCGAAGTCCGAAACAACAAATCTATCAAGACTAAAGATAGGCTTGCACATCAGTCCTTAACCAGTGATCTGAGTTAAATTACAATGAGTCATAATTATCATTCAGTTATTTTATCATGATAAAATCCAGTTTTTAAATCCAGAGACAAATTTAAACAGCAATTCACATGACCATGACCAAAACTTCTAGAAAGTATTGGGAGTGTGTCTGTCAAAGTTCCAAATGTTAACATTCAAAGTAAATACTGGTGACATACAATTACTCACTTTAATATTCGGACACTATAATACTTTTAAGTATAATGCTTTATATCTTCCTGAATTATTAAAATATTTATTCACTAGTTTTTTACCATGTTAACTTATTTATTATAGACAACAGAAACATAAAACATTATTTTGTAATTGCAACATGTCATTACGTAATGAAGGATAAACAAAACGATGTATATTTTACGCGTTACAAAAATATTCGGACACAATAAGCGATTAATTCTAAAAAGCGATCTAATCCGATGTTTACGTCTAAACTGTAAACATAACAGTAGCGTTACTGTCCTCCGTTAGTCTAAGTCAGTCTAAGTCAGGAAATTGAGCAATAAACATCAAATACTCAAAATGCCACGAAGAGGAAGAAACACAAGTTTCGATAAACGGCAACTCGTGATATTTAATTACGAAAAAGGCAAAAGCTATCGTCAAATAGCAAATTTATTGGACATGAAGAAAAGTACTGTAGCAGATATTGTTACACGGTACAAAAAAGAAGATCGCAGCAAACCCACAGACTGTTCGACGGGCACTTAAAGAAAGTGGTTACAATGGACGAATTGCACGAAGGAAGCCATATGTGAATAAAATAAACAGGAGAAAGCGATTAAACTTCGCAAAAGAATATTTTTCAAAGGAAGAAGAACGTTTTTGGTTCAGATGGAAGGGGTATAGTGTGGAGGAGAATCAACGAAGAATGGAAATCAAAAAATCTAAGACCAACCGTTAAGCACGGAGCAGGAAGTGTGATGGTGTGGGGCTACATATCAAGCGCTGCAGTTGGCGAATTAGTGTTTATTGACGAAATCCTAGATAAAAATAAATATTTAGAGATTCTGAAGAAAAATTTATTAAGAAGTGCTATCAAGACAATGACCCTAAGCACAAATCGCGAATTGTGCAGGAGTACTTATTATATAATTGTCCAAAAGTGCTGCATCCACCTCCCCAGTCTCCAGACCTTAACCCCATCGAGAATTTGTGGGATGAATTAGAGCGAAAAATACGGAATACCCCAATACACTCAAAAACAGAATTAAAAATTCGACTACAAGAAGAATGGAACAATATTAATAGTGAATATTTAGAAAAAATCATTTCAAACATGCCTAAGCGTTTAAGACAAGTTATTCATCATAAGGGATATCCAACAAAATACTGAATTTTTGTTTAATCTTAGGTAAAATATATGTACATAATGTATGTAACTTTTTGTAGTGTCCGAATATTTTTATAACGCGTAAAATAGACATCGTTTTGTTTATCCTTCATTACGTAAGGACATGTTGCAATTACAAAATAATTTTTTATGTTTTTGTTGTCTATAATAAATAAATTAACATGGTAAAAAACTAGTGAATAAATATTTTAATAATTCAGCAAGATATAAAGCATTATACTTAAAAGTATTATAGTGTCCGAATATTAAAGTGAGTAACTGTACATTATTGATAGAAATGCCATGCTTACACTGAATTATACCGGAATCTGCTGTATTTTATCTGAAACGAAAGGCTCGTTTTTTCACGAAAAAGCTGTCTAACATAGTTTTTGTATTATTGTTATCAATAAAGACATTATAATAATAATTTCTGTAATTCCTTGTATTGTACTACATTAACCCATAATTAGATGTCAAAGAGCCTGCAACATTGTAACCTCATTTCCATTAATTCATGAATCGTTCACAAATATTGAAGTGGTCAGAAACTTTTCGCCGGCAGTGTACCTACAGCGACCCAGGCTCGCGTTTCTTGTTTGGCTTAGAAACGTTAAGGCCTAGAATTTTTCCCAGAATAGTTGCGAGCGTACAGCGATCAGAAATCGGGCAGGACGACTCGTCCTCAGTGGGTGTTTACGAGGCTGTCGAACGAGTACCTCGTCGAAAGACGAACGTCTGACAACTGTACGATTATAGTCTTGTAGGGAATACAGTGCTCGCTCGAACAACGCGTTTTCGATTATACACGGATTTTCAATCAATTTACGTACTTAGCATATTCGTTCGTGTGAATTAACTGCCGCTGCATACAAGAAGGTAATGCACCGATGTAAGAGAAATCGAAGGCGCCGTCGAGACGGGGATTCGGGCGGCCAGCCCGGATGTTTATTGTAATACGAGCAGGCGATCTCGGACCCGAGGACTAAGCGCCGCCACAAACATCGGCGACCCACCCTCGAGGCCCTTGGTGAGGCATTTTTGGGAACGGCGGGACAAAGGGGCTTTCCTAGCCGGAAAGCCAGTCTCGCTTAGACAGTCACAGAGCAACGGCTGAACCAAGCGAACCCACACGAATGAAGTTTTAACGTCAGTTACGCACCTGTTTATTCATTTTCCTTACATCGAATTCAAGCACACAACGAACAGTTCAGCTTGGGAGAAAAATCAAACGAGAAGCTTGTCTCTGCGAGCTACACAGCTACAGATTCACGGTATATGTATGCGTGAATAATATGTATGTATATACATACGTTGCAATGCGTACAAGCGACAAACCATAGCACGTTTCTTAGATTTAAGATTGTAAATAGTCAAATTAAGTTGTACATATGTAAATAATCCATGTACAATGTAGACAGTTGTAAACGCGAGCGCACCCCTAATTTCACGAAGGGGGGTGATGTGGCGGCCCATGCAGCGCGCAAGACGCCACATTGTATACAGTGTTCCGTTTAACATGGATTCGTTGTTACAATGTAATTATAATGATAAATATACACCCGTTGTTTTATAATGCGACCCTAGGCGCGAAGAAAGCCAAGTTAGAATTAAGGTTTAATTAATATAAATTCTAAAGAACCCGTAACACAATAAGTTTATGAAGCCACCGGCCATCCCCTTAAACTTGATAAAAAATAGATTTAATGCTCCCTTTGCAATGTTAATGTAATTGAATAACAATTAATAAATGATTACATACAAAAAAATTAAGAATATAATGGTAAAACAATTCTTTAAATGTAATATAACAAAGTGCTTATTGTTTGAAATATTGTAATACCCATGCCTACAAAAAAGGATAGTGCCCTGTAAGGTAGTGCTGGATAAACAGTGTAGCGTGTAACTAGTGCGCGCCAATAGAGAGTAAGTCACACCTAGACCCGCGCCAGTAGCAAATAATATTAACACGCACCAATAGGGTGCGAGCGTAATTAGCAAATTAGGTACCTGAAGCGTGTACCGATAGGGCACTCTTCACGGTCCGCGCACAGGAAAAGGGCGTATATAAGGACGCCCGAAAAAGGGCAAAACAGGTAGTCCGGGACAGCGAACCGAGGAAACCCTGAACTCTGTAACGACGAATAAATCTTGTTCAACACAACATTGTACGCTTACGATTGGTGTGTGGTTGAGGACTAACGAACCCACAACAGCATATGCTAATGTGTGAACAATCCTAGCAAGCACAAATGTTCTGATTAATATTGTAGCTAACCACATAGCAGGTCCTGTAGTTAACCATAGGAATGTAACAAAGAACCATAGAGGAATGTTTTCTAAGTCATTTAAGTGTGCTCTCCGCACACGTTCAATATCCGGATCGTTGTTTGCAATCTTTGCTCCTTTAACAAATGCCGCATCATCAGGATTTATAAATATCCGTTTCTTCATTCGGTAACGTGCAGTTAGTCCTACAACTGCCACTAATTTTAAAGCAAGTATACTACCCCTAAACGCAAAGGTTTTAATAAGATCTGGTTGTATAAGAGACGTATTTAAGGTAGACATTGTGAATTCTGTAAATTTACTTGATAATTACCTAGGGTCCGTATAAGCGGATTTGAAGAATCACAATTTACTTGTTGGAGACACAAGCACCGCAGAAGAGGGCCCAACCAACCCAGACGAAGACAGCACCCCCTCCCGAGGAATGGTCCAAGGTAGTTGGTAGGAGGGAGCAGCGAGCGGCACGTAAAGCCGCTGCTGCCCCCAGCCACACCCTCAAAAGGGGGGCAGAAGAAGGGGGTAAGAAGGCGGGCCAGCCCACGGTCCGCCCACCGAGGCCACCCCGGGCGGCGGCGGTGGTTGTCACCGCACTCCCCGGGGCACAGAGGAAGGTCGGCGATATTATTTCTAACGCTAAGGCAAAGACAAAGCTCGCCGACCTTTTTATTCATTATAATTATTTATTATAATAGGTTTGCATCGAATTAATAAATATACACCTGCTGTTACTAGTGTTGATGAATGAACTAAGGAAGATACGGGAGTAGGAGCCATTATTGCAGCTAGCAATCATCTTGAAAAAGGTAGTTGAGCTCTTTTTGTAAATGCTATAATAATTAATATTGTAACAACTAGCAACAAAGACGCCAAAAATTTCATTTTTCGCGAGAGGAAGTGAGAGGGACGACTCTCTATCCTCGTCGTCAGCCGAATAATCGCGAAGCGATAGAAGCTTCTAGAAGAAACTAGCTTGCGATCCGCGGTAGACTCGCGGTTTTACGCGGGAGTCTCGCGGTCTCGCGCGGGAAAATACTTAGCGACGCGTCTTGTTGATTAGCCGCGCTTCATTAGCAACGGTCAAATATAAATACCACGGCCGCGGACGCGGCCGGCATTCTTGCTGTACTCTGTTGGGAGAGAACGAGGTATTACCATCGGTCGCCCTTCAGAGTGGGAGAGTACGAAGCCTAGCTTTCGGCCGCCCTTACAGCACAGGAGAGTACGGGGACTGTGGTCTCTGGGCAGAATAGAAGAGCTGCACCAAGGCAAGGATGCGATCACACGGGTGGTCACTGTGAGAACCGCAAGCGGTTTGCACAAGAGACCAACTGCGAAGATTTGTATCCTACCAAGACAAGATCAAGAAGATGTAGAACATTCCACGAAGAACTAATGTATAATGTTCTCATAATTATAAATAACGCACATGTATTAGCATAAGTTCATCTAAGGTTTAAAAAAAGGGAACCCATGTATATATAATAGTTATACTCCTTAGATGATAATTAGATAATCTGATGTATGTGATTTTTATGCGTTCGATGATATGTATATAGTATAGTTTAGAATATTGAACGCGCATCGTGCGTTCAAGGGGGGCGGCATGTTAGAGTTTCAGCCAAGATGGATTTACGACGGGGCAATTGCAGAAAAGCTTCGTCTGTCTACGTGACAAACAAAAGGGACCTTTTTGATCAGCACGGTCACACCCTTGCAACTTAATTTACAAGTAAGGCCCGTCGTAAATCGTCGCGGTACCAAGGGGTGACTCGGCCTCGAAACCTCACGGTTTCAGCGGCAGTTAGCCACCACATGGCAATTCTGGGAAATACCCCAGAGTTGCCAAGTCGCCGTACACCCCCGAACGCATGTGAGGAGGCTCTGTTCCCCTTCCTCAAGGTACCACGCCAAGGGCGTAATGGAAGGGAGAACACAAGGTATTAAAACCTGTGAGCAGATAGTTACCAGGGAGAATACAGACAGCTAGAAGATAGAATAGATAACACCAAGCGACACAAGTTCTTGACTGAAACACACACACAATCAGCACGCCACAACATCTGTAAAATACAACCATTCACAGTCATCTCAGTCCCAAGCCGTTTAATCTTGGGTGGTCCTTCGAAAACGATACATAGGCGGCACAACGTGCAAATAGCTTAGGTGAGCGCGCCTTAACACACGGTGTCACATCCAAGAAGATAAATTCATTTTCATCCCCCCAGATAATTCAGCGTCTGTTTCAAAATTTAAAATTCAGCGTTCAACGCGTCCAAGGGAGAGTCTTCAGCGAGTCATCGTACGACAACAGCGTTACCGGTGACCTCGTAATTGGTGAGTCAGACTACACATACATATCGCTATCCTTTCATTTCTCTCCGTGTCCATCTCATCGGTTATACGGAAGGGCTAACAAACGTCATAATCAATAAGGTCAGATTTTGGTCGCACTCAACCATCATATTACACTAGATTAAAACTCCACCACACATGCTCAAAACTTTCGTGGCGAACAGGGCCAGTGAGATTCAGTCAGAAACTCATGCAAAAT